GTTTGACCTATGCTGACGCTGAACCGCCATTTTTGAGCCGTGCGTGTGGTGTCATTGTTCTCTCCAATCTGAGGCGAGTCCACCTTACTTCGGCTCTGTATCAACTCTGGACAGTTTTGAAAGACAGGTAAGACCTTTGTTAACCACCTACACTCACTGTGTCGCGGTACCAGGTACAGTGTACTTCAAATCGGTCTTGATGCAGAATTAGTTAGCACCATACATGTTAGTTCTAAATGCCTCAAAATGTTGGTAAGTTTTGTTTGTTTTCAATGTGTTTTGTAAAATTCACTTGTAGCTCTTAGCGGTTTAGATGTAGTTGCAGCATGTTACTTTAGTAAGGCATTAAATTATTGTTTGTTTTCTGTAAAATGTAGCTAGTAGAGATTTGTCAACTTTCTCAGTTTCACCAATAAATCAAAAAAAGTAATATGTCTTCTTCATTGAATTTTTCCTAAGAATGTTGTCTGATTTCCCCCTATGCAAATCGGCACATGTAACAAAATACTTTCCTTTGTTTCATAATCAAGTAAAACCCACCGGACCGGTTTTATCAACCCACCCAGCCCCTATATAAACGCGTCCCTGACTACTCTGTTTCTGTCAGTACTGACTCTGTAGCCGTGAGGACCTGTGTCGTCGTGAAAACATCGTGCAGTACTTTGGGCCGTCTGTGCATCTTGGTAATCGCCAAGTCACTATGATTTCGTTTTCCTATTTTGTTTTATTTGTCTGTGAGTACGGCCGTGTAACACCTTCTTGTACGTTGCATTGTGTGTAAACCTTGCAGCGAAAAACTCTCTACATTTCGGACTTACTTTTCATACTTGTCCATGCTGAAATGGCCAAATGTTTCCTTTGATTCTTAGCATACCAAACTGTGTACTTGAAGGCGTGTATGTGTCTGCATAAAACCAGACCCAGATGGCCTCGGGAAAGAGGGCTAGGGGGAAGTCCGGATGAGCGTCGACTATTTCATTTATAGTCCGCTCAACTACTGATGTTAAACTGTTGATGGCATTGTCCTGGGAAACACACACATCAAAATTACAATAGTAAGGGTAGGGATTGATGCTCTTGTCAATTATCCTACATTAAATTTAGCTGAGCAGATTTGGGCTCTTTACTTAGTATATAATTATCCTACAAAAACTCAGGAAACATAAGACAAATCAGACACAGTTTGGCCGGAAAAAGGGAAAAGCTTTAATTTGTGACTTTTCCGAAACAAACACAGGTGGAGCAAGGGGTGGTGGTGGGTGAAGAGACAAACAAAAACAGGACCGGCACCCGCGTACCGTCAAGTCGAATGGCGTATCACATGATCGTGTCAAAGGTTACGGGCCGAAACAAAAGAAACAGGGGTTTTCTAGACAATTAACAAAAATTACCAATGGTCAATTTTTCCCAAATTATCCTACAAAAACTCAGGAAACATAAGACAAATCAGACACAGTTTGGCCGGAAAAAGGGAAAAGCTTTAATTTGTGACTTTTCCGAAACAAACACCAAAGGAACGGCCAAACTGCAAAACATAGTTATTTAAATTTAGAAAACCACCACCTACTCCTTTTCTTTCTCTTTAGATTCCTATGATATCATACTTGAACATTGCTTTGGGGTTACCAACCCAGGAAGGAACAATATAACAACAATTCAAGAATATAAAACTGTTACAACTTATAACAGTATAACTGCTGTCGAACTATTCAGGCTAACAACCATCATTACTTCTTACAATAGTTCACTAATAGGGAATCATATAAGAACATGCGCAACAAACTAAAGGGACCTAAACACATAGGTCAACTTGTAACAATAACATTGTCTCCTCCTAACAAAACAATCTATCAGTGGTCTACGATGTGGTGTAAGATACTAGTACTACAAAGCCATCTTACGAATGCTAGTCACCATTCTGGAACATAGACTTAACCGGGTGGCTAAGGGAACTTTCAGATACAGCAAGTAGGCGTCCGAACGCCAGTCACCCTGAAGGCGAATCAAGTCAATAGGAACACCTGAACGAAAGGCAAAGGTGGCACCACCTCTACGTCCATTATGTAGTGAGTATCTAGCTGGGCTTAAACCTGCTCTAATCAGGATCTGCTTGAAAGCCTTATCGAAAACGCTCTGAGTCAAAGGTACAAATCCTGATCTATGTGGTCTCGTAAAAGCTGCGATAGTATCAAAATTGCGATTCAACTTAACCATATTACAGTATGCCGATACAGGACAAAGAGGAGAATTCTTGATCTCCATCACGGGAACGTACAATACTCTCTCAGCACACTGTAATGTCTTAGTGTAATGTAAGGTCTTTGCTGGCTGAAACAAACAAACAAACAGAACAGAACAAATGCATTAGAACCTTATCATACAGTCAATAAGGGCACTCCAAGATAAAGTCTTCCTGGAATACCAGAATCTCACAAGTGGTCTGGTGTCGTGTGAGACTCTTGAACTGCTGAGAGTGATACGTTGACAGGTGCCATCGCGAAAGATGATCTGCAATCCGATTGTGGGAACCTTGAATGTGTGTGGCCTTCACCTCAAACGTGGCAGCCAACAGCCACAGCTCCCTAGCACACTGCAACAGTTCCCGATCACGAGCACGGCCGGAGTTTAATACGTGCACACATGCCATGTTGTCGCAGTGTACCAAATTCGCTGT